TAAAAATAGTGTGGTGTGCCTCGAAGCGGGTCACTAGGCTGTAGCTCTCGTTTCTCTCGCGATTGGATCGCGATATGTCGGGACGCGTGGTATCGTATCGTGCAAGATCGCGTACATTTCCACGTTATCAGAATGGAAATTGATTTTGCTCCCTGGAAAATGGAGGAAAAGAGCTGGAGGCTCGAAGGCTTGGTTATTTGTGTAAAACATACGTAAAATCGATATCCATGCTACACGTGACGTAACGATACTTCGAAAAAAAAAAAAAAGGAAGAAAGAATTTGTTATTTTTTTTTTTTTTTGTAATCAGCTTGCGCCCCAAATAAATAATTCGAAATGGGACACACGACTCTAAGAAAATGTAGGTTGATTACTTTCTAACACACGTGTGTGCATGGAATTTGTATTGACGAATGAACAATCTAATACATGTCACGCTCGTAAACGTCTGTCACGTTAGATGAGCGGAATAAAATACAAGTAGAGTAGAAAAGTATGTATGAATACTAATAAAAATAGAATCGAATCGCGCGTATTGTCCCTCGTAACGTGTATATACCCGTCCTTTGTATCGAAGTAATTCACGATCTCGTTTTCTAATTAAATAGAATATAACGAACGAATTAAAAAAAAAAAAAAAAAACGTTTAACAATAACGCGCACGTTCTTCTTAAATTTCAGCATTGACAGTGAGATTTCTAACGAGGCGGTATATCGGGGAATATGATCACCAGTCAGGTAAGGAACATCTCGATTTACAATTGGCGGCGTGCTCGCGATAAGATGCGGCCTCTCGATGCGGTATAAATTACAATGTGAATGGTACAATAGAATGAGGCGTTTTTTTGAAAAATTGCCAGCAACTGGTGTGCCACCTCGGGGACCGTGTGTATACTCGGCCTGCGCATACTTTGGTCGTCCGCGTCTGATCTAAATTTATCGAAGACGAATTTGACACTAGAGACAGGACGGATACTAATGCGAGGTTGATATTCGAAGAAAAAACTTCTTCTTTTGTACAAATAGAGAGACGTGGGTAGGGGGGGATAAGCGAGCGGTTTCCTCTAGCGAGCACGTGCTTGAATCGAGATCTAAAACTAGACTGTACTGGAAAGATCTACTTAACGGCCACAACGGCTACCTGATCTCTCTGTTGCAACCGAGTTTTAGCGGTGAAAATTTATTACGTAATTTTTCCTCGTCGTGGCTGTCGAGGATGTCGAGCATCGAATCGTTGTGCACATGCCTATAACTTGTCATTGGTATTAACAAATTTTCCTTTCTTTGTGCCAATTTTCATTTATTTTCTATTTTCTTCTTCTTCTTCTTTCTTTTTTTTATTTTTTTAGAGAACAGATACAAACACGAGGTGTTAGTCGATGGCGAGCCCATCCTTTTCGAAATTTTGGACACCTGCCCGAAGGTAATACTTTTATCGATTATCAAAGAGATTCGAGTCAAGTGATTTCATTAACAATCGACAAAATTAAAAATATTCTTCTTTTCTGTTCCATTTACAGAGCGAGGATGAGTTACCTTCTACGGAAACTGTACAATGGGCGGATGGATTACTTTTAGTCTATTCGATAACAGATAGAGGCTCCTTCAATTTCGTGAGGAAAGCGAAAGAAACTCTCGCGGTGGTTGATCCCGAAGCCACTATGCCTCTTGCCTTGGTTGGGAACAAAGCCGACATGGTACACTTGAGGCAAGTTAGCACTGAAGAAGGAGAAATATTAGCGAAGGATTTTGAATGTTGGTTTAGCGAAGTATCTGCCGCGGAGCAAGTATGTTTTTCTAATTTTCTTATCTAAGTGTAAGATTTCTATACCTGAACTTTATTGTGAACAAGTAAACACATTTCTCCAGGTCACACAAGTTGCCGAATCTTTCCACGAATTGTGTCGAGAGGTTCTGGCAGCAAGAAGAAGGAATAAACAATCTTTATTGGATAGAATGCTTGGTAGCAAAGCAACGCGTGCTTATTCACGAGGTAAAAGTGACTCAGCGCTTCCGAAAGATTAATATATACATATATATATATGAAATTATACATTTTTACTTATATGTATATCATTTCGTACAATTTATACTATATACAAATTTTATAAAAGAATCGTTTTTAAGAAAATTTACGATGTAATCTTATGGATCAAAAGTAAACGGCACATAGTTTATTATATATGTGTGTGTACTCGATATTGAAAGTTACCAAAGATTTATGTAGCATTGTGTAATAATGTTTTTAATTTATATGATATTATACTATGTAAATGATATGTAATACATAAATTTTAGAGATTCATATTTCAATATTTTATCAACGTGTAAGCAAAGAGTTTTTTAATACATTCTCGTGTTTTCTAATGGAAAATTTTATAGTTTTAGTATGAATTAATATCTATGTAAAAATTTAATGCAATATATAAAGTATTTAAGTCAAAATTTCATATTCTATCGTGTTATAACATATAAAAATTGTATAATTCGTTCATTCTGTAAGGCTGATTACAAATATGTAACCTATGTGAGTATAGTTTAGACGGATATAAAAACATAAAATAATTAATCTATATTTATTTTGTACTTATAATGAAATTATGACAATAAATATTTTACTTACTTATTATATCATTGTGATATGTAACACTAAATCTTAACTTCAAAATAGAAGATTTTCTTTATGCAATAATGTTCACGTAATAAAACATTTTTAGTTCTCTTTCAACACTTAGGTCACATAGATTCACTTTATATACAAAATTAGAGAACTATTTATTTTGTATCATCATATGTTTCTAGAACATCTGCTAAATGTTCATTATCTCTTGGTTTTTTAAATTGTTTTCTTTTACTAATAGGTTTCTTTCGTTTAATCGGAGCAGGTTTTTTAGGACCATGATCTTGCATGGATCGTATTCCTTGCTTCTCTAAATACTCATCGATTTTTTGATCGTCCATAGCATCTACTGCAACAGATCTCCATAATTTTTGAAATTCATCATCTATTGGAAATTGTGCAGTTTTATCATTATAAAATACTATCTTTTTTTTATCTAAAGGTCTTGTTATAAATAATATTTCATTTTGTAGACTCTGAAATTGATAAATGCTTATAAAAATTGCTGTTATATTATAGCGACAATATCAGAACTATCGCATTTCTATTTACCTTTAAATGTTTATCACAGTGAGGCAGACTTTCTTGTATATCTTCTAATAATATTCCACCAAGACCTTTTAAATCTTGTTGCTTTAATAATCTTAAGAGAGATTTCTTATCCTTAATTTTATACATAGCTTTAAATACGAATCTACCATCTGAAGTTACTTCTATCTTTGGGTTTTTAACAAGAGCTTCCGTTTGAAGCCATTGTTTCACCTGATATAAAGTTTTGTATTTTTATATATTTATATGTCATTAATATATTATCAAATTTACCTTTGATCCAACATCTAATTGATTTGTTTCATCTAAAATTTCTTCTAATGTTAAAGGATGATCATCTCCTTCTTGATGCCTAGCTTTCATATGTTTTACAATTTTAGCTAGAACACCAAATTTGTATTGCGTACTACCAGACATAGTTTTGTAGTTAACCATATCCAGTTTTGGTCCATTAGACACAGAGGATGGTTTAGGTTTTTTCTTAAATGGTTCATCTCGTATTGAATCTTTCTCTTGTTCCTTTCTCTTCTTTTCTATCCTGCAAAAATAAAGCTTATTACTTACAATATTGTATCAAAGGTTATGTTCGTATAGGTTATATTCACAATTTATACTATATTATAATTTTAATTTGAATATTTACATTAAATTCCGAATATTGCAATAATGAAGAATGTTTTTATTCCATATATAATTTAAACATAATTTTTCCTTTTTATAAAAGTAAGTATGCTTCTATAAACTTAGAGGTTAAGAGAGAAAAACCATAGATAATACTTACGTTGGTGTACTAAGAGCTTTTTTCTTAAAAAGCTCTCGTTCTCTGAGTAATGCTGGATCCATTGTATTAGAAAATTTAAATTATATAAATTTTAAAATTCTTTTTCGTATATCTTGAATTGTCACTTTTCCCACATTCTAAACACCGAATGAACAATCTACCAATCAGAGATTCTCAGTTACTGTATGTTATATTCGAGCATCGAAGTAAATGAATTTTACTGCGCATGCGCCTATGTTTTCGATTAATCGTTTCATAATTAAATTATTGAATCGTTTGACAATTTCAAATATCGAAATACGGTGGCACGAATAAAGTCAACGGTTCAGTGAAACGTGTGCAGTGTCTATAAAAACCGAAAAAATTGTATATTTACAAATTGTGTATTTATAAATTATATTAAATTAAACGTGATTTTTGTTTCTAACAAGTGAACATTGATATTTTTCTGTTGTGATAATCTCTTTTGTATAAATAAGAATATTCGTGACTCGATCTCGTGAATCTCTCGATCTCTCAGCCACGCCATTACATTCATTATATATAAAATCCGTCAAATTTGTAATTTGAATTCGATATTGGTCGTTGCAATGAATTTATTTTATAATTTTACACAAGTGTGAAGATTTTCTACGATGAATAGCTAGTAATTCTCAAACGTGTTCCTCTCATTCTGATATTTGTGATATTTTACGAGCTATACAATAGGTTTCCTTTACTTCGTGATTTTACGAACGCCGCGTCAAAAGGATAAAGCAACCAACGGTCTTAAAAGCACTTTCTTCCACATGTTTAAAGAAAGCGGATAGAAAGAACGCATTGTTCTCCTTGCTTAAGGTAAAGTTTTAACTTTTACATAAAACGAGAATTGACGTGTTTATTTTGTCACATATCATACGATCGTTCTATTTTATTTACGCTTTATTTCTTTGGAACCCATATAAAATTTTATTTTTCATTAATTTTAGACTCTCTATTTTCTCTTATTGATCGATTTACCCAATATATTTAAATTTTCTAAATTCGTAAATAAATTTTTCCATCTTCTCCACAAATTTCCCATAATGCATGTAAAATTACCAACTTTGAACATGCATGTAAATTTTTATTCCCGCGTTAAAAAAACTTGTGATACGCATTTGGACAACTTTGTAATTCTCCCAAAAGCAATCACGTTTTAATCGAACGTACAAGCGAAACGTATCGTAAGAAATCACTGTGCGGCACGCATGCATACATTGTTATATACGAGTGGAAGCAAAACAATTGTTCGCTAACATAAACATCATTCCGAGCAGATTTGCAGCGCGTCGTGATGTTTACATTCGATAACCCGTTCCATAACTTGTTATCACTTCCTCACCTAGGAACGTTTCCCGTTCCTATCGCGCGCGTTCATTCGATTTTTCATTTCTTTCGTACCGACCGAGCAACATGACCGGGCGTGCATCGGTATCCGCGACAGAAAGTAACAGGAAATGCCGTACATGGGGAACGCGCGCGGTGCGCTCCGATCGTAACATGCGCGTGAAGCGTGCGCTTCAAGCTCGTGAACAGAGATAGAAGAAGAGGAAAAAGCAGTTACAGGAGTGAGAGAGGGAGTGTACGTGGCAGGGTTGGTTGGTGGAGATGGCACGGAGACCGGGATCTGCAAGCAAGGCGAGCGGTAGAGGGCGGGAGGAGGGCGGAAGGGGGAGGGGGGAGGATAGGGAAGAGAAGGGTGGTAGGGCTGGTTAAATGACGGCTAGTTGGCGGCGCGGGGATGAGCGGGCGGCTGGTGCGTGGAAGAGAGGGATGCTGGGGCGGTTCAAGCGAGATCGAGTTCACGCCAAGTGAAGTACGGCAGTTTGTGTCAGACCACGGAGCACGGAAGATGCTCCCGGTTGTTTACGGAACGGGTGGACCACCCTCATCGCGGTGGCGGCGCCGCGCCACTATTTTTCACGGTTCCGCGTCTGGAAACACCAGGAACATCGAGAATTCTTCTTGGATCATCAGGCCAACGTCCACTGCCACCGTGATGACCACCGCTTTGGGCCTTTTAATGATGTTGCTGCCTGCGGCGTATCCGGAGAAGATCTCCATCGGTGAGTGCGGTCCAAATAGTGTATATTATCGTCGATCGAATTTTCGCGAAATACGGAATGGCTATGAAAGCCACGAAAGAGGAACGGATGCGGAGGAACCGTTGTGCGACCGTTCCAACAGTTATGGAGGGTTGTTGCACTCGACTCGACCTGTATGTGTCTATTCAACGGTGGATGGAAGTAAATACTCTCTGTTCTTGATGCACAGTTGCTTCACCGTTCGCGTGAAAGCATCTGCACATGATTCTCTTTGACTTTGTGAGGGAGGGGGAATATGGGAGGAATCGTCGGTCGTGTAAATAACGCGTTTTTCACGAGAACGAACGATCATCGTCCTTTCTAGATGCGATTGCTTCGCGTTTGATACGTGTGTTTGCTTTTTATGAAAATACACGTAACCGTAATAAAGTAAACAGTTATTCGGGTCGGGTTTGAAATGAAACGGTAATTTTGTTATTGTTGTTTTAACTCGTATGCTATTTCTAGAAAGAGCGAATGAAAATCTTTAATATTATCGATGGGTTGTTATGATTTTTCGAAAAAATTATCGAGGTTTCAATTGTGATAGGAAGTGTTTATAGAAATCGTATATTAGGAACGTTCGAATCCTTATGAACAAGATTGTTCTAATGTAGTATATGAGAATTTCGTATCATTAGGAGTCTTAAATAATATCAATTTATACTTTCCTATTCACGTGAAATAATATGAGTAATATTAATATCATATTAATACGAAGGATAATATAAAATCTATGCAAATATCGATATTTTTATGATAGACGTGGTTATTATTGCTCTAGCTATTCTTTTTTTTTTTCTTCTTTCATTGAATAAATACACGCGCATTTTTACGAATAGATAGGTTCGAATAAACCATCTGATAGCAAAATCGTGAATGGAAACTCGCGATAAAAGTTTGTTCAATTCATCATTGATTACATTTCTGGTTGGAATAACTGCGAGCATGAAAATATTCATTATTTATCCAACCGTTCCTTCGTCAAAAAAAAAGATAACGAGAGGAAGCGTATTTTCAAAGCTTCGGGTATTTATCCGACGTCATAACCGACAGTCTATTTTTCCAATCTTTTGTCAATCAAAATTACCGCTTTTCTATCCGCGTTCAAATTCAATAATCAAATGTTACACATTGATCGTACACACAAATCGTATTTCGACACGATCAAATCCGGTTCAATCTTTATCTCAAACTCTCCCGGACTTAATTTAAACGAGTTCAAAGTTATTTCATATAACACACCGGCAACCTTAATATTAATTCTGCCACCGAGTAACGCCATCGTGACGCATATGTAGCAGGAAGCGCAACTTTGACTCGTATAAAAGTAATACGCGCGTTCGAAAACGACGAAACGATGAGAATTATTAAAATTTTATCATTTACACTCTTCTTTAGCATCTTTCTTTCACGCCTCTCTCTTTCTCCCCATCTCTCCCGACAACTTTACCGCGAGAAATCTCTAAAATCGGTCGTGAAAATCGTCGAGCATCGTGCAAAAACCGTGATATTACCAGCGTTAAAAGCCATCGCAGTAAGGATTACCGTCAATGCCCATCTCGTACGCTACGTAACGTTACGTGTCGAGAAAAATGACTAGGGGAGAGAGTTAGAGGAAAACTGTCGTGGCCTCGTAAGACGGAGAAAGGACGACGATGACGAGAGATGTCGTGAGGGTGGATAACGTAACGGAGAAAGTGGGCGCGAGAAGGAGGGAGGCAGGGACAAATGCAGAAACAGGGGTTGGGTAAGAGGGTACGGAGTGAAGTGGAAAGAAGGCGAGACAGAATAAGACGAGGGGGGAGGAGGTAAGAGAAAGAGAAAGGGAGGAAGAACGTTGAGCGAGGAGTGAATGATGAATGCCTATAGAAATATCGGTGTCCTTGTTCCGCCCGCGCGAGGTATGCAGGTAGAGAGAGGTAGTCGGCTAAGTCGACGAAAAGACGAGGGAGGAGGTCGTGGCACGAGAGATGGTGGTGACGAGGACGAGGATAGTTGGAAGGTTCGTTCGCCTTGGCGAGTTATACTTTCTTTGCTACTCGAAGCCCATTCTCTCTTTCTCTCTACCTACTTCACTACTACCATCACTCGCTCTGTATATTTTTATGCGGAATTATGCGAAAACTCATGGCGAAAATATATCAACGCGTCATCGGTACTTGACCTCGCTTACGGATCTCTCTCTATCTCGCTCTTCGTTCGTCTTCGTGGATCGCGACACGATAATTTTCCCATTTCTGCTCGACTTCTTGTTGCATATATGAAATCGAATCTTTTTTTTTTTTCCCTAAAATCGTTATCAAAACTTTGAACTAGTTTTCGAGACAGTGTTCTAATATTAGAAGGTCTTCGCTTTTTTTTTTTTTTCTAATTCAGCAACGTAGATACCTGCCATAATTTTAATTTAATTATTTCCTATAAAAGTGTAAGGATAAGGGTAGACAATTAGTAAAGATCCAGTCGTTGATCGTTGATAGTTTTTTTTATATTAAACCTAATATCCTCTATGTACAATCCCATTAAAGTTTAATTCTGGTCATAAACCCTTCTACGGCAGAATAACGGTAGGTTAATTGCCTTCGACGTTCCCTTTAAATTCGCTGTTGTTAGCATATACATTAGATATTTCGATGTATAACAGTTTTAGAAAACCTTGGTACATTGATCCATGTAGAAAAATTTGCTTAAACCAAAAATCTTGATTTTTTTTTACAATTTACAATTGCCAGGCAAAATTATATTTAAAAAGTGAAGGAATGAAATTTTACAGATTGATTTAAAGTTCTTCTCTAATAAAAAAAATTATTACTTTACGCATACATATTCGTTGAATTCTCGATGTGGTCAATTTTCTTCTGGGTCTGTAAATTCTCTAGATTGAAACGTGATTCGATATGGTCACTGCAACCTTGTCAACATTTGAACGTTTATATATCAACAACCGATCGCTATTATTTAAAATTTCCAAGCAGCATTCGCTTCACTGATACGTGTACAACAAATATGTCATATCGAAAAAAAAAAAAAGAAAAAAAGAGAGAGACTGCAGTATTCAAAAATTGCATTTTAACCAACTTTTCCTCCAATTCGATCACTGCTCGCATTCCGTTCTTTTGACATGGTCGCGCGGATTGTTTTCATTTTTTATTTAACTCGTTACTTGTTTTCATCCGTCAAAATATCCAAAATATCCCTCTCCTCGCGATAATTATAATATTTCGCGCACGGCGTTCTAATTAATAAGTAGAAGTACACGTCGCGTGCATTCGTCCTCCTTGCCACTTTGGTGTTATATGCACCTTTTCTGGGAATGGATAAAATTGTTTTTCCAGGGATCATTAGCGTATATACTTTCAAATTCTAGGGGAGGGAATTTCGGGAGGGAGAGCTCCAAGTTGGAGATTCTTTTTTCAAAGGTGGAGCGCGTCGTGCGGGCGGAATCGCGGTCAAGGTTCAACGGTGTGGAGGGAGTGGGATTTTTTAAACAGTTGAACTTAATTGCGAATTTTACTTACGTCGTGCTTACGACGTCCTCACGTTGATGAACAAAGAAGACGAAAAAAATTCCATTACAGTCACTTGCGGCAGCCACCTCCTGCCTTTTCAACTTCCCTACTTCGCTTTTAATGTTTTATTTTTCAGACCTATTTTCCCGTCGCGCGTAACATTTCCACGAGCTCGTTCAATTCAACCCACTTCCTTTGACAGGGCATTTTATAGCATCCCGGTTAGATCTTACAATTAGTCAGAAAATTCTAAAATTAAGACCATCGCGCGAGACTTTATTTATCTTGGAAAACGTGTTATACACGCGTACACATTAGTTACACGTTAGTGTTATACAGTGTATTCAAACGTGTCAGATGTCTATCTAAATTTGATTCGAAAAGATCGATGCACAAAGGAACTGTATAGCGCTCCGATTTATTCGAACGAAATCGATAAAATACTTGATAATTCTAATGCGAATCGTTAAGACGTTTAAAATTAACTTTGATTTTTCTTAGAGATTTTTAACCTGTTTATTAGGACGTATCTCCAATAATATAACTCTATTACAAATTTTCGAAACGTGTATTTTATTCCCAGATTTTTATCGAAAGTTCCACTTTAGTTCTTCTTAAGGCTTCGTTTCGAAATGTATAACATTCAAATTATTATTATTATTATTACTGATTCGTACTACTGATTTTATTATAAAATTAAACGCTTCTTTCGATCTACTTGACGAACGCGAGGAACTCCGAATCTCTCAGGTTGAGGATCGAAGGAAAATTCCAAAAATTCCCGTGTAATCCAACGCGAGACATAGGCGAGGCGAAGGGAGGCGAATTGTAGAGCGGTTCTTCCTCGGCTCGGTCGAAATGGAATTAGAACGGGTGCGGAGTGGTCGAGCGTTTGATTCGTTGGAAGACAGAAAATTTCTGTCTTCCGGCTGCGCCGGTTCGCATCTCGAGCAAAGGCAGCACGCCTTTGTGGGGAGGAAGATAGCGGTACCTACCACTCAAGCGACCTGCCGTCCGACTAATGCGATTAATAGCGCGCCGCTATCAGACAAGGGAGACAGGGTTGCCTCCGTATCGTCGTGTTCATCGTTGAAGAATTTGCCTGCCGCTGCTGAAGCGCGCGCGTCGGGACGAAATCGAATTTTAACGCGTTCCGTGGCCGGGAAATTAGCGATCAGGAACAAAAAGCGAGAAGAACTCGAGAGTATCGAGTTGTGAATTACTTTCCAATCATGTTTCTCCAATCTTCATCTTAATTGTTTCAAGTTGCAAGTACTTGAACTCCTTTTTTCTTTTTGTATCGTTTTGGGGAAAGATAAGTATTTATTAGGCACGAATCGATTCTGAGTCTGTTTCGAACGAAATGAAATGATTATTTCTAACTCTTAAAGGTACGATATCAATTGATTGCTTGTATATAAATGTATTTCACGAAACTTATCTCTGATAAATATTTCTGGACACGAATATTAA